GGACCGGGGGCACCTCTGTTGTTATTGTGGAAGTACCCCCTGCCCCCACGAAAGGGCTGCTGTTTATTCTTAAAGCACGCGGAGGCAGGGTGGTTTCCCCAGCACCGGTCGCATTCATGCAGATACTTACAGGAGGGTCTTGAACATGCACCCTTGTTGAACTCCCAGCAGAGGCGACGCCGCTTCGCCTCCGGCTTACCCGCCTTTGCCGATCCCAGGCTTTTCTTATCAATGTAAGGGTTAACGTCCTCACCCCAGTAGTTAGGGTCTGTTAGGTCCCATCGGGTGGAAGGTAGGAGAGAAGCATTTCTACGGAAGTTCTCGTCATAAGTTAGAGCGGCCTGTTCCCCTGCGAGTGAGTGAGCCCGCCTCACATGGGCGAGGTAAGCGACCAAATCCATAGAGCGCCGAGGATAAGCAGCGCAAACAACACCCATGAAGACCTGATACCCATCTAACCAATTCTCAAAGGTGCGCTCCGCCCTAGGGGTCCTGTACCTCCCCTTTCCTGAAGATCGCCTCTTTTCACCTTTCCCCATTAATTTAGTAGGTGGGAGTAGGGTGAACATGTCAACATAATCGCCGTTGAGGATCTTATTCCTCTTCTTCTGGGACAAATGGTTGCCCAAAATGAAATCGGTGGACTGATTGGTGGCAATCTTTACGTCCTCGACCAACGCACCATCTTTCCAGTCTAGTACCCCATTAAAAGTCTTACGGTGTGAATTGGCTCTCCTTTCATGCGCCCAAAGTGGGATCCCGTGATTCCCTTCGCCCAATCCCCAGTAACCATCCATGGGGTCCTCACTATCAGAATCAGAAGAGGACGTACCTGACTCATCCTCCGTCTCGGACTGCTTACTTCTCCTCTTCTTTGATGATGTGTGCTTCTTCTTGGACTTCCGTTTACCGCCTTGCACCTCTGCGGTGGCCACGCTCCCGGTGGTCACTGGCTGAGCAGTTTGATGTTCCCTGTTCTCCTCCTCCAAGCCGGACCCCGCACTGTCCTCGGTAGAGCTGTGTAGGGGCTGCTGCTCCTGAAACACACTAGGAATGTCTACAACCTGTGAAAAGGTCTTGCTAGCTGTTCCATTGGGAATAGCCTTACCTTTTCCGGAGCCTTTTGCCGAAGCCTTACCCCTTCTGGCGTTTTGGCTGGCCTTTCTATTGCTGGCTGCCTGGGCACGAGTATTAGGGCGACCAACATTTGCATTCTCAGACTGTGCGCTGCCCCCTGGCACAGCTGGGGTTCCCTGCTGCCCCTGGCAGTTAGGAGGAGTGTCTGGTATTACATCCTGCGACGGTTCAGGAGCAGGGATCGCCACAGCCCCAGGCCTACATTGTCTATAAAATGTTTCAAATGCCCGGAAAAATTGAGCGAAAGCTTGAGGGTCACAGGGCATGACTCCCGCTTGAGTTCCCCCATTACTCGTGCCGGGTGTCGGTTGATTAGATTTCCCCTTCTCTCGTTTTTTTTTTTTTAAACTATTTATATATGTATAAATCTTTCAAATATTTATTTATTTATTTATTTATTGTTTATTTATTTATTTTATTATTATTATTATTATTATTACTTTTTATGTTTTATTCTATTATTATTATTTTTTATTTATCTATTTATTTTTTATTTTATTTTATTTTATTTATTTATTTATTTATTTTATTATTAATATTATTTTTTAAATTTCGTCTGGAGATTAGCCTCTTAATTAACTGTCACCAAACCACAGCTGAAAACCACGGCACTGTGCGTCTGCAGGTAGAGAATATAACGTAGTCCACTGTTTGGTGTCCTGGCTTTTTCCTATTACGTTAGTTTATTTAAGTATTATTGTCCTATTTTTTAAATTTTATTTATATATTTGCCTTTGATCACCCAGATAAATCTAAAAAATATGATAATTGACAATGTATTTATATTTTTTTTAAGATGTGTGTGCAAGCTGTATTATTTCGATTTAGATGTTATTGTTATAAGTAATATAACTATTATAATGTTATAATTAATGTAATTGTTATTATTAGTATTAGGACTGCTTTTATTTATTTTAGTTCGCTACACAAGGAGAGTGCTTTGTTATCGCAAAGCCAATACACTGGTGTTGCCAGAAGCCCACTTTGTTGTTGTTCGCCTCAAGCAACGGTAAAATTCCCTTATCGCAATTTTTTATTTTTATTTTTATTTTATTTTATTTTTTTGCACTTAGGGGGTCTCCTAAACAGAAATAAAACCAAGCTCCGGAGGAGCTAAACTAGCCCACGATCCTAAACCCCCATCCAGAGCAATGCGAGAAACAATTGCGACCTAGGGCAGTGCCGGGTTATGTAGCTGGCAGCCTTCTGCCTTAGAAATCAGGCCGCAACCTAAAACCAAGGGGGTATATTATGCCCTAATTCTGGTGAGCTGTTTGTAAATTGGGCGAAGGCTATTCACCGCTTGCGCCCCTACCAAAATGGCCGCGCCGGGCCTATCGCGTGGCCCCTACTAAAATGGCGACGGTAGCCCTAACAATATGGCTGCCTGTGTCTCCCTCACGAGCCCTACCAAGATGGCGCCCGTTTTACTTTAGCAGCACCGCCCCCTAGACAAAAGGACCTAAACAAAGGATTACAACGCTGTGGGCTTAGTGCCTCACTTAAAATGGCGGCCGCACACCACGTGGTCCGTTGTCGTGGCAACAATACAGGACGCCCTTGACGGAGAAGCCGTCACTAGTTTTATACAGAGGAATACAGGCAACCCCGGAAGCCAAGAGAATTAACAGACGCCCGACTGGGCAGCGCTTTTTCTAGCCTCCCCCGAAAATAACCAAGCAAGAAAACAGAAGAAAAAACGGCACAGCCAAACCTCTGTCCTTATGGGCAGCTTCCGATTCTCGTCCCGCAGATCCGGCTTCCCCGACTGGAGAGCGCGCAGTCGGCACAAATCCCCAGCTGAATCCACGTGCTGTGACGAGTAAAATGGAGGAGCGATCGGCCAGAATAAAGAAGCCTTTTTGAACCGCTGCGACACGCCGGGTCTCCGAAAGGTAGCCGAACTAGCGGCAAGCAATAGTGATTTCAGCTCTTTTTCTTTTATTCAAGTCGCAGCTATCCGCTCACTCCAAACGACCGACCGAGGCTTCCGCGAGGCAAACCGCACACAAACCGGCAAGTAGAGCAGGGAAGAGAAAACCCGCTCAGCTGGCGAAAGGAAAGAGGGCGGTCCCCGGACGTGCCTGGCCTTAAGTAGGGTAGGCCACGCCTCCCTGACCCGCCGATTGGCGGATCGGGACGCAGGCACGCCCGGGGATTCCCTGGATCTCGCGGGGCTAGCCCAGCCCCGCGTGTGTGGGAGGTGTCGCCCACAACCCCCTCTCCTCCGGAGTTCGGAAAGGGCTTTGGTAGAAAGCTGGTTGCTTTTGATATGTATAGAGCTGTCAGTCGTGGTTGGAGAAGGCTATTTAAGAATAAAAGCAGCATTCTGCAAAGTACTCTTTCTCAAGGATTCTTTGTGCCAACTAGGGTCTGAGGACCAGGCAAAGGAGGCAAAGGAGGTCAGAACCTTTTCTTTTTCAAACATGGACAATGATGTCCAAGGACAAAAGAGCTTCTGAACTGACAATCCCTGCACAGTTCCATTGATCTGTACTTCTTACTTCCCAACTAACAAAACCTGCGGGTATAGGTCCAGATCTTAAATTATTTTAGTGGTGTACATCACCACAAAGTATATGAAAATATGGTGCCTCTATTTATAAACCGTAGGCTAGAACTCTCCAATTCTTGTGGGTTTGATTTCTTCCTCCAGATTGCTTACTGTGTATTAGCTCCAGTGAGAAGCCCAGAGTTGCAGCCCCAGACATTCTACCGAACGGTGCCCAATGAGAAATATCAATATGCAGGGATTGTCAGGCTACTTCTATATTTCCAGTGGACATGGGTAGGAATTGTGGCATCCGATGATGAAAATGGAGAGACCTTTATGAAAACCCTAGTGCCAATGCTTTCTCAGCATGGAGTCTGCACAGCTTTCAGTGAAAAACTACCAGCCTTATCTCAGGGTCTAGATAATTTCAGTTTCTTGGAACGCGTTCGGGCCAAGTCCTCTTTCCTGGTGGCCTCAGAAGTCAACATTTTGGTTCTGTGTGCAGAACCTCAGACCATTACAGTTGTGAAATGGATGCAATATTTCTTTTCATTAGCTGAAGATATTGCAGAGACGTCTACAGGCACCGTGTGGATTTTAACAGCCCAGTGGGCTTTCTCTTCAGAAACAATGCAAAGGTATTATGATATACAAGCCTTTGATGGTGCCTTGTCTTTTGCAATTCACACAGAGAAAGTCCAGGGATTTAAAGAATTCCTTCAGACCCTGAACCCCAACTCTCCAAATGGAGATGGGTTCCTCCAGGCTTTTGGCAACAGGCATTCAACTGTTTATTTTCTGCTTCTAATGGGCACAAGGAAAACACAAAGACCTGCACTGGCCATGAGAGTCTGGAGAGCCTTCCTGGGCATATTTTTGAGATGACCATGACTGGCCAAAGTTACAGTATCTATAATGCGGTTTATGCCATTGCACATACTTTACATCAGATGCACTCATCCAGGTCAAAACGCAGAATGATGGCAGGCAGAGGTGGGCTCAATCCTCCAAAACTGCAACCTTGGCAGGTAAGATTTCCTGTTCAGAATAAACCTTTGCAAATTGTGAATTGTGAAAAATTAAGAATTTGTTTGAAAATACTAAGGTTTGTTTCTACCCATGACTGCCCACCCATTCTGTCCAGCAACACCAACTTTTTTCTAGAACCTGCATTTGTTTCTGCACTAAAGAGGAACATATAGGGCTATTTTCAAATGTAATTACCTGGACAGTTTTTAACTCGCTCCCAGTGATATTCATTGATTGTATTGGAACTGCAAGTTACGGTCACTTTACGTTGGTGGGGAAAAGTAATCAAAGAAATGGAGATCAGGAAAGCCCAGCCTGAGCTGCCCACCAATTCTTTGCCCCCTTCTCCCACCTTGCAGGAGGGGCAGTTCCAGGGCTTCCTGACATGGCACCATTTTGCCTTTGCACACGGACCCCAGAGCTGAACCCTCATGCAAGTGGCAGGCCAGCTGTACTTGCTAGAAATACTTTGGTGCTCCAAATGTTGTAGACTGCACAGTTTTTGACTACTTTCCAATGTGTGAAAAATATTGATGGATACTTCTTGTTTCTAAAATCCATAAAAGCTCTCCTTTTTAAACTTTCCCTTTGTTTTCTTCTGTCTAGCTGCACTCGTTCTTGAGGAGTATCTCCTTCAACAACAGTGCTGGTGACTTAGTGGCCTTTGATGAGAATGGGGAGTTAGCAGGTGGATTTGATATTATTAACTGGGTTACTTTTCCAAACCAAACCTTCTCCCGAGTGAAAGTAGGAAAGATAGTTCCACAAGACTCACAAAACGTAGACTTCAGCATGGATGAGGGAGCCATTACATGGCACAGATCTTTTAATCAGGTGGGACCATTGGATTTTTAAAAATGCGGTATTGTAGGAGTAAATTATACTGACCCAAGTGAGATTTACATCTCAGAAGACAAGGGGAGGCTAAGTTACCCATTTGTTTTGAAAGATTTAATGTCTTGTGGTGCTTCTCTGAGCCTAATAATGTATATGCTTCTTATTTTACCTTCCTCATTAACTTCCTGTATTTCAAAGTCTGTTGTCTTCTCTGTCCTCTCTCCATCCTCCATCTTTAAAATTCAGTATCCCTTCTCATTCACTCCCAATATTTACATTACAGTTTATTTATTTATACAACACGCCTTTCTGGAATAATGTTAATCAGCCAGCTGATCTCTTTTTGGTTAAAATTGTGTTGTTTACAAGACACGAGAGAGCTACATTTTCTCCTCTTTTTATGGCTAGGTGCTGCCCCTTGCCTTGTGTAATGATCGCTGCCAGCCAGGCTACAGCAGGAAAAAGAAGGAGGGATTGCCATTTTGTTGCTATGATTGTGCTTCATGTCCACATGGGATGATTTCAAATCAAACGGGTAGGATTACTATTACTATTATTATTTTGAACATTGTACCACTAAGTGTTCTGACCAACTCTAGCTAAGGGCACAACCAAAGCCAATGTTTCTGATCACTAACTCCAGATGAAGGACAGAGTAGATGAAAAATCCATGCACTTTAGGCCCATAGAAACGTAGAGCCTATTGTGGATTATGCATAGTGGCTGGAGATTGTACAAACAGTTTTTAATATCGACTTATCTCTGATACTTTCACCAACTTATTTGTTGGAACTCATATATTACTCATTTGATTTTTTCAGATGTGGATTATTGTTTCCAATGCCAAGATGACCAATTTCCAAACAAGGACAGAGATCAGTGCATCCCCAAACGCCAACATTTTCTTTCCTACGCAGAACCTTTAGGGTTCGTTTTAGCTTCCTTAGCTCTGGTCTTTTCTCTGGTCACAGCTTTGATACTTGGCGTCTTCTCTAGGAATGGGGACACTCCCATTGTCAAAGCCAACAACCGGGACCTCACCTACACTCTGCTCATTTCCCTCTTGCTCTGCTTCCTCTGCTCCTTGCTGTTCATTGGCCAGCCTCACCCAGTGAGCTGCTCTTTACGACAAGCTGCTTTTGGCATCATCTTCTCCATTGCTGTGTCTTGTGTCTTGGCCAAAACCATCACGGTGGTTCTGGCTTTCATGGCCACCAAACCAGGATCCAGGATGAGGAAATGGGTGGGGAAATCTCTCACAAACTCGGTTCTTCTTGCTTGCTGCTCAGTTCAAACCAGCATTTGTGCTGCTTGGCTCTGTATGGCTCCTCCATTCCCAGATGTGGACATGAACTCTCTGGCAGAGGAAATCATTGTGGAATGCAACGAAGGTTCTGTCGCGATGTTTTATTCTGTCCTGGGTTATCTGGGATTCCTGGCCATGGTCAGCTTCACTATGGCTTTCCTGGCCAAGAGGTTGCCGGACAGTTTCAATGAAGCCAAGTTCATCACCTTCAGCATGTTGGTTTTCTGCAGCGTTTGGCTGTCCTTTGTTCCCTCTTATCTGAGCACGAAAGGAAAGCAGATGGTGGCTGTGGAGGTCTTTTGCATCTTGGCCTCCAGCGCAGGTTTGCTGGGTTGTATCTTTTCCCCCAAATTGTACATCATTCCTCTGAGGCCCGACTTGAACAGCAAAGACCACTTAATTCTGAGGAGCAAATAGGAATCAACTTTCATTAATGCTTTTAATTATTGCATTGTTTGCTGGCATTAATTGAATGGAAAGCAGAAAAAGTACCGTATTTTTTGCACCATAACACTCACTTTTTTCCTCCTAGAAAGTAAGGGGAAATGTCTGTGCGTGTGTCAAGGCTGCCTCAAGTCTTAGCTCACAAAAGACCAACGCCTACGTCTTCTTGAATACAAAGGTGTTTATTGCAGTTCATGGTTTGCTTGACATCTTAGGCGCGCAGCCTTACGTCTCTTACGCTAGACCGCCGAAGTCCCGTCTGAGTCAGTCCCTCCTCTGCACCAATTTAAGAGACTTGCGCTGCTCCACCTCTTTCTCTCCTTCCTTTTCCGCAGGGTCTTTCTGCCCCCTGGGGTTTGCCCCTTCTGGATTCCTCTGACGCGGAATCAGACTGCTGCTCCCCCTCCTGCGGGCTTTGGGACCTGGCCCCTCCTCCGGGCTCCCTGCACTTCCGCGCGCCTCTACATTTGAACTAGGCGCGCGCGCCAAACCTCTAACTTTCCTTTTGACAGTTACACTGCTCCCTTCACTGCTCCTCCCCTTCCGGGAGGGCTGCTTGCTCTGACCCCCTCCTCTCTCTGCTGCTGGAGCTCCTTCCTCTGACACACTGGAAACTCCACCCCTTCGCTGCACTTTGGTGGGGAGGCTGGTCCTGACGCCCAGCTGCCACTTTGGGATCCTCCGCTGGCACCCTGCTCCTGACATTTCCCCTGGGGCTCCCTGGGCCTGACCCCCGGCGCCCCCATCTGGGAATCCTCTGATTCGCTGGAAAGACTCATGGAATCCCTTGAGTCATTGTCGTCCTCTTCCTCGCTGGCTTGGAATTCCTCCCCTTCGCTCTCCATCTCCTGCCTACCCTGTGCCTCTCTCTCTGAACCCCTGACATCCATCCCCCTCGAAGCCACCCCTTACCCCCTCCCGCTGCTCGGGCGCAGGTTCCGGGAGCCTCGTTGTAGCGGGGGTAGATGCTGGATACAGTTCGTCGACGTCGATCTCCTCTGCTTCCAGTTCAGTGTAGGAGTGCTCGAAACCGGGGTCCTCCCCCAACACCTCCAAACCCTTCCCTCCCCCTGTTACTTCAGGCGAAGCTGCTTGCCAAGGCCCCCTTCGCCACCCCACTTCTGGTTGATCGTCCCACCAATAAGAGCGGTCCGTGTCCACCCTCGAGCCCGATCCCCTTGGAGGGCTCGATTGCGGCGTGGTCTCCTCTGCGGAGGAGAACCCCTGAAGGTGCTGCCTGAAAGTGTGGGGGTAAACAGCCAGTCGTCAAAATACTCCTCTGGCATGGGCCTGTGCGGGAAGAGTGCATGGAACTCGTCCTTAAGCCAAGATTCCTCCAGAGCATAATCTGGCACCCAACTGTTGGCGCTAGCCGGGGTACCTTCCTTGGCGAGGAGGTATTCCACTCCCTCCTCCCCCATCTCGAGTCCAGAATTTCCGTGACCTCGTTGAGTGTCGGGGTCCTCGGTGACTTCCCCCTGGTGACTTCCTACGCGGGTCTGGTGCCGTCCCTGGCTCCTGAAATCTGTGTGGGGCCTTGTAGGGTGTAAGCACCGACCTATGAAAGACCGGGTGCATTCGGGAATCCTCTGGGAGGGTCAACCGAAAAGCTACGGGATTGACCCTGCCCTCAACTTGGTATGGCCCTAGCTGTTTGTGTCCTAGCTTCTTCTTAGCTAACGACCTGGCCGGCACCGCCTGGGCTGCTAACCATACCCAGTCCCCCACCTGGATGTCTTCTCCTGCCCTCCTGTGCCTGTCTGCCTGCACTTTGTAGGCGTGTTTAGCTAGTTCCAAATGCCGTCGTAGCTCCTCGTGGACCTCCTGCAATTCTGCTGCTAAATGTTCCGCTCCCTGCGACTCCCCCTGCGTCGTCGTCTCCAACGCCGGGAATGTTCTGGGGTGTCGCCCCTGGTTGGCGAAGAACGGTGTCACCCCCGTTGACGCGTGCTTCGTGTTGTTGTAGGCAAACTCGGCCATCGGTAAGTAGTCCACCCAAGTTGCAGGCTTTTGATTGGCGTAACATCGCAGGTACTGCTGCATGATGGCGTTGACCCTCTCCGCTTGGCCGTTGGTTTGGGGGTGTCTCGCCGACGCTAAGTTGATCCTGACATTCAGGATGCCCAGGAGCTTCTGCCAGAAACTGGAAATGAATTGGCGACCCCGGTCGGACAAAATGGACCGTGGTAAGCCGTGCACCCGGAACACGTGGTCTATGAATAGCCTGGCGGTCTGCTCCGCTGTTGCCACCTTCGCGCAAGGAATGAAATGCGCCATCTTGGTGAACAGATCTACAACCACAAGCACCGCCGTCTTGCCCCGCGAACTGGGCAGATCAGTGACAAAGTCCAGCGCCACCCTTTCCCACGGCTGCAGTGGCGTCTCCAGCGGTTCCAGCAATCCCGCTGGCTTCTTGTGCACTGGCTTGGACCTCTGACAAGTGTCACACCTGGCGACGTAATCCGCGACTTCTCCCCGCATCTGGGGCCACCAAAAGTCCCTGGCTACTAAGTCCGCCGTCTTCTCCTTGCCGAAGTGACCCGCGCTGGGGGCGTCGTGCAACTGCTGTAGAACCTTCGCTCGGAGATCGTCCCCTGGGACATAGAGAGCACCTTTGCGGGTCAGTAGGCCGTCGCGTATCTGGAATTCGCCGTCCTTTGCTGTCCCTCTTCGCACCTCCTCCATCTTGGATTGTGCAAACGGGTCCGTCTGTAGCGCGCGTCGTACCGCGTCCAGGTCCACGGCGGCAGAAGCGCACGCCCACGCTTGCGGTGCAAAAATGTGCCTGGCTGCCACTGGTGCCGCTTCCTCAAGATACTGCGGTTTTCTGGAGAGCGCATCCGCTATGATGTTGTTGTCTCCCGGGATATACTCTATCCGGAAATCGAAATCCGCAAAGAACTCCGCCCATCTCATGTGCCTCTGGCTCTGGAGCTTCGCCGTGCGCCAATACTCCAGGTTCTTGTGGTCCGTGCGGACCTGCACGGTGTGCTTGGCTCCGATGAGGAAGTGCCGCCACGCCTTGAAAGCCGCGTGGATGGCCAACAACTCCCTGTCCCAGATGGTGTAGTTCTGTTCCGACTTGCTGAGCTTCCGTGAGTAGAAAGCGCAGGGCCTCCAGTTCCCTTGCGAATCTTCCTGCAAGAGGACGGCCCCCACTGCTCTGTCAGATGCGTCAGTCTCAACCCGCATGGGCCTGCCAGGATTCACGTGTAGCAGCTGGTCTTCGGACGCGAAGAGACTCTTAAGCCTCCTGAAGGACTGCTCCGCCTGGTCCGTCCAGGTGAACTTTTCTTCTTGGAACTGAGGGTGTCCGTGATAGCTGCCGTCTCTTTCGCGAAACCCCTGATGAACTTGCGGTAAAAGTTGGCGAAGCCGACGAACCTCTGGACCTCCTTCCGATTGCGCGGGCTATTCCAGTCCAACACCGCGCGGACCTTGGCGCTGTCCATGGCTAGGCCCTTGTCGGACAGCCGGTAGCCCAGGAAATCCACCTCCGTCACGTCGAACTGGCACTTCTCCAGCTTGGCGTAGAGTCTGTGCTCCCGTAGCCTCTGCAGGACCTCCTTTACGTCTGTTTCGTGAGTCTCCTGCGATTCCGAGAAGATCAGAATATCGTCGAGAAAGCATACGCACTTCTTGTAGAGGAGTCCTGCTAGCACGTGGTGCATGAATGCTTGAAAATGGTGGGAGCCACCTTGGAGACCAAACGGCATAACTCTGTATTCATAGGTGCCCAGCGGCGTGAACATGGCCGTCTTCCACTCGTCACCTTCCCTCATGCGTATGAGATTGTAGGCTCCGCGTAGATCCAACTTGGTGAAGATCCTCCCCTTCCTCACCGTCGCGAGCAGGTCGTCAATCTTGGGCATGGGGAAAGCCTTGGGTTTTGTCATCGAGTTTATGGCCCTATAGTCCACAATGAGTCGTTTTTGGGGCGTGTCCTTCTTCTTCACAAAAAACACAGGACTGCCCCCCACTGCCTTGGATTCTCGGATGAATACCCGCTTCAAATTGTGATCTATGAACTCCCTGAGCTCCTGCATCTCATCTTCAGACATGGAATACAGCTTCGCAGTCGGTAGCGTTGCCCCTGGTAAGAGGTCAATTGCACAGTCGTAGGGCCTGTGGGGTGGTAATTGGTCAGCTTCCTTCTCGCAGAAGACCTCCAAAAATCCCTTGTATTTGTGGGGCACTGCCTGCACCATGCCTAGATGCAGCTGTTGCCCTTCCTCCCGGCCCTCCTCGTCCTCACCAATCTGGATGCAATGTTGTGCACAGTAGGACGAGCCAAAGGTGAGCTGCCGCTGGTACCACGCCAAGGATGGACTGTGTCTATCCAGCCAACTCATGCCTAGCACTATGGGCGTGTCTGACAGTTGGGTGACATTGAAACTGATGACCTCGCGATGATTCCCAATTTTCAGCAGCATGGATGGCGTCTGTTGTACCACTTGCCCACCCAGCAACTTCCTGCCATCTACAGTGACCACATTCAGAGGCAGCGTGGCTGGTAGTAGCGCTATGCGATGCTGCTTGACGAACTGCACCCCCACGAAGTCAGCGTTGCTCCCTGAGTCAATCGTAATGGGGACTTCCAGGGTGAGTCCATTAGGCAGCTGGAGAGTAGCAGTGAGCTGCACCACTGGCTTAGGTGGTAAGGGGTCTGTAGGCTGCAAAAGCGCTGGGGACTGCTTCATTGACGTGCCTGGTGGAGCCCCAGCGTCTCTCCCTCCAACCAGGCATTCTCGTTTCCCTGAAACTGCTCCCCTTGGAAAGCTTCCCCTGTTACTGTTGCTAAGGCTGCAGTGTGCTTCTGGAGCCTCTGGGGACACTCTTTAGCCATGTGCCGTGCACTGTCACAGATGTAACACTTCCTGGTCCCTCTAGGAGGCTTCGCTTTGACTGCTCCTGACGCTGAGGCTCCGGCAGCTGTCTGAGCCTTTGCACCACCCAGTTCCATCTGTTCTTCCCCCTCTGCCAGGACAGGCGAAAGGCGTGAACGTTCCAAGTCCCTAGAAGGAAAAGGAGGCGCTCTAGCTGGTGGGCGGACGTGACGCCCCTCCTCCCTGTGCCAAGGGCGGTCTTCTTGGCGCACCCCTATCGTGAGTGCCCTCTGCACGACGTCTGCTAGGGTTTGAGGTCTGTCTCCCTAGCCAGCTCATCTTTCACTGAGCCGTGTAGCCCTTCCCAAAACAAGTCCCTTACTGCCAGGGAGTCCTTTTCCCAGCCCAGCACATTCAGCAATGCAAAAAAGCGAGAATGGTACTGACGCACTGTAGCCTTGCCCTGCCGCAATCCATGCATCTCCTGACGTGCCACATCAACGTCAACAGTAGATTGGAAGCAAGCGTCCATGGCTTTGAGAAATTCATCAGAGTCCCTGCGTGCAAGACCATCTTCGCGCCATAAATTGCGTAACCAATTCCTTGCTTCCCCATGCAAATGGGACACAATGAACCCCACTTTTTCCTCCTCATCCTTGAAGTCCTTTCGAAGTAAATGCAGTGCATATACGACGTCTGCTCTGAAATTGGGATAATGCTTCAGGTTCCCATCGAAGTGGGCTACTAAATTGCCCCCTTCGTCCCAGTCCGATTCCCTCTGATCTGGACCCCGGGAACCCCTCTCTGCACGCCCGATCCCACCTGGCTTGCAGATCCTGGCATCGCGCTTCTGCTTCTGCAACTGTCTTCTGAGAAACCACGACGGCAGTGGAGAGCTCGGTGACTGCGTTTTGCAGGGACGCTATCTGCTCCTCAGTAGTCATTGCTGCCAAACTTCGTGAGCTGTGCAAAAAAAAAATTTTTGCTTTTGAGACGGGACTTACTGTCAAGGCTGCCTCAAGTCTTAGCTCACAAAAGACCAACGCCTACGTCTTCTTGAATACAAAGGTGTTTATTGCAGTTCATGGTTTGCTTGACATCTTAGGCGCGCAGCCTTACGTCTCTTACGCTAGACCGCCGAAGTCCCGTCTGAGTCAGTCCCTCCTCTGCACCAATTTAAGAGACTTGCGCTGCTCCACCTCTTTCTCTCCTTCCTTTTCCGCAGGGTCTTTCTGCCCCTGGGGTTTGCCCCCTTCTGGATTCCTCTGACGCGGAATCAGACTGCTGCTCCCCCTCCTGCGGGCTTTGGGACCTGGCCCCTCCTCCGGGCTCCCTGCACTTCCGCGCGCCTCTACATTTGAACTAGGCGCGCGCGCCAAACCTCTAACTTTCCTTTTGACAGTTACACTGCTCCCTTCACTGCTCCCCTCCCCTTCCGGGAGGGCTGCTTGCTCTGACCCCCCTCCTCTCTCTGCTGCTGGAGCTCCTTCCTCTGACACACTGGAAACTCCACCCCCTTCGCTGCACTTTGGTGGGGAGGCTGGTCCTGACGCCCAGCTGCCACTTTGGGATCCTCCGCTGGCACCCTGCTCCTGACATTTCCCCCCTGGGGCTCCCCTGGCCCTGACCACCGGCGCCCCCTTCTGGGAATCCTCTGATTCGCTGGAAAGACTCATGGAATCCCTTGAGTCATTGTCGTCCTCTTCCTCGCTGGCTTGGAATTCCTCCCCTTCGCTCTCCATCTCCTGCCTACCCTGTGCCTCTCTCTCTGAACCCCTGACAGCGTGTTATGGAGGAAATGCCTATGGGTGGCATGCCTATGGATTTTCCTCTTCTAAAAACTATGTGCGTGTTATAGAGCGAAAAATACGGTAATTCCTTGTCTTTCTCAACTCTTAGCCTCCAACCTACATCTGTAGCAAATAAAGCTGAGACCAATTTTAACCCCATAAATCTGTTCTGTCAATTTGTTATCCTGTCAATACACTAACTTCTGCCAAGGCTATACTTTATATATTTAGGTAAAAGCTATATTGTATTTATTTATATGTAATCAAGAAAAGCTGCTGATCTCAGAATGTAGCTACAAAAGCCTGTATAACATGGCAGAACATCATGGACAATTAAGAGGTTGCATTTTTAATCCTTTCCGTCATCATCCACCTGTAGATAAAAATGTCTGTACACATCCATCTGGCTTCACAATGTGAAGTTGCCACATTTCCAAGTGGGGTTTCAAAACAATTGAATGACATATGTTACCCACTGGTCCTCATCTGCCTACAAATGAGACCCAGATTCTCTGAGTTTATCTTCTCCATTTGGGACAGATACAGAGTGGCTGGACTGGAGAACATTTCAGCTGTCAGGAGAACCTACAAAACCCCGTGCAAAGGGCTTTACAAGTGCTGATGATGTTCTGATAGTTCAGGCTTGCAAAGCTGTGTTCATGAAGCTATGGAAGCCCCAAGAAGCAGCTTTTGGGGGGCCTTGCATAGCTCCATGTGCAGCACTGTGAGGCCCAAAGATCAGCTGATTGCAGGGGCTTGCAGAGCATCATGTTTGCTGAGTTTCAGGCCCAAGGACCAGCTGATCATTCATGTGGGGAAAATGGGTTCTCTGACGTCTCTGTGATCTCGGATGATGGAGAGGTATGCTGCCCCAGCCCCATGTCCCCTATGGCCCACGGGGGATGTGGGAGATGAGGATCCAGGTCACCTCTCAGATCAAGTGCCCCATAAGATCACAAGATCAACCATGTTGTTTACAATAAAGCTTTAGCCAGGCATAGGCAAACTCAGCCCTCCAGATGTTTTGAGACTATTACTCCCATCATCCTTGACCACTGGGATGATGGGAGTTGTAGCCCCAAAACATCTGGAGGGCTGAGTTTGCCTATGCCTGGCTTTAGGCCTCAAAAGTTGGTAGAGGTTGATTTAGTTAAAAAACTACAGCCTACAATCTTTAGAACTGTAGAATTCAGAATAGTCATGATACTATAGCATTTCCCCTTTGGACATAACTTGTTCAAAATTGATTGCTATGGTAATGTTTCAAGCATTCTAAAGCTCATAGACAAAGATTCAGGGGGAGTCTGGAGCTGAGGAGGTTCCTAATTTTGGAGAGACCTTGAAATATGTTTTTAAATACTTTTGGATTACACTGATGACTGTGGGGAGTGGGACTGTGGGGAATGGGTGGGTTTGATGAAGGGAGATGGAGACAATTGTGGGTTGGAACCCCCCAGAGACCTACTCCTCAATGAGAAAGGAAAGAAATTAAGGTAGAGACCAACAAATGACAAGGAAAAGGGCAAGTATAAACAAGAAGAAGAAGATCTGCAGAAGGGACATGGAAAAGACTTAAGGGCCTCGGACATAAGACTTCCAGGTTGATGGACTAGATGGAATGGACAGTAAGGACTGACACGACCCGAGACCAGGAAGAAGAGACATTGGATGAAGATTGGAAGAAAATCTATAAAGAAAATTTTTATTTGGGGAATCAGCCTAAAATAAATGAATATTAGGGAAAATGTTGGAATGAAACTATATGACTCTAGCAGAAATGATAACAGGAGCTATGTATATTTGAGCATTAAGATTCAAGCTTTAAGGTATTTTAGGGTAAGATAAGGTTAAATAAATCAAGGTAATTTAAATAACAGAATATGGGGAAAGATGGGAAGGATTTGTTGAGTTAACTATTAGGTTAAAATGTTAAGATAAATTATTTAACAAAAATTGAGAAAGATGGAAAGAATTTGCTGAAAAAACTAATTAAACTAGAATACAAAAGGGGAGGTGTGAGGAGGTCAATGAAACAAGCAAATGGAAGTTAAAGATATGTAATTCGGGATTTGTGTTTTTTTTCTTTTTCTTTTTCTTTTTTTTGTTGCATTGCTGTATTGGTTTTTATGTTTTGTGTTTTTTTCTTTTTCTTTATGTATTGTAGTGTTGTTTTTTTATTTTTTCTCTTTTTTCTATTATTCTGAAACTATTAATAAATATTATTTTTTTAAAAAAGATTCTAAATCACTGCATTCACAGATTTTTAAATCTAAACTTCATTATTTCATATGTATCTATTTATTACATTTATATAGCATTTATATACTATGGTTTTCCTTCTCCCAATTTCATCTTCACAACAACCCTGTGAGGTAGGTTAAGCTAAGAGGCTGTGACCTGCCCAAGATCACCCAGTGAGCTTCTTGCCTGAGTGGGGATTTGAACCCTGGTCTCCCATCTCCAACACTCTAACCAGTACATCACACTGGTTCTCAGCTGAAAATTATGGTTTGTCCATATGGTGTCAGTTAATGTAATAAGAATTTTGGTTGATGAAATGGATAATGGACTTGATTTAAAGGTTGTGCAAAGTTGTCAGAAGTGCGTGCAGGAGCCAGGCCCTGTGACTGGTAGGGCCTCGCAGGATTGGGGCCTTCCTGAGTTTGGCCTGGAAGGGCAAGGCACGGCCGCACAGGTGAGGCTTGAGGGAAGACTCGTAGCACCTGGTGGCAAAGGGTAGGAGGGGTATATAAGACCAGCAGTTCCCTCTGGCTCTTTGCTACAGCAACACGCTACCCACCTAGCTGTGCTTTCTGACTCCTGGTTTCCTGACCCTTGGACTCTTGGCTTCCTGACCCCTGGACTGCTGACCCTGGACTGCTGATTCCTGCTTCCCAACCTCAACCCCAGTCCCGACGTACCAAGTTGGGACTCTGACTACCCGTAACCCAGACCATGACAAAAGTTTGTTCTACGTCTTTGAACAATTAACGGCAAAGCAGTTTTTTTTTATTCTATATTTTCATCTTAAGTAGTTTTCTAGGTAACCCTTTCTCTCTCTCTCTTTGCTGACTCTCCATAAACTCTTATTGCTCTCCCTACTAAGGAGGACCAGCTGAGACTTTGGCTGTGATGTGATAAACATGCTTCCCACCCCAAATAACTGAGAGGCTGATTAAGTCTCCTGTAATTATCAAAGTAATCACGATCATTTCTTTGACTCTCTGGGGAGTTCCAGTAACTGCATGAAAACTACGAATCAAGACTGGGAGATACTATTAATATCTCCTGTGATGTTCAGAGCTTGGCCTTACACCAAGGGCTCTGTCAGACTGATCACTGATTCTTTTCCTTGCAAAAATCTGGCTTTCGTAACCATCCCAGTGAGACTTTGCTGCTCAGAATCACTCAGATGACAATGTGCAAAGAGATGAATTGTCGCCTAAAAAATTCCCTGCAACATGGTAATATTTGCAATCTTGGTATTTGTGCTGCTGCCTTAGACTGTGTAAAAGTTTCCTCTTGCTCCTACAATACTCTGTGCAGGACGGTACTTTCCATGATGTTGGCGTCAGTGCTGCTTCCTCCAGATGAGTGCAAGGCTGCTGTTGCTCCCTGTTCCATCCGTGACCCTCTTCCTATTCTTCACAAATATTTCCAGTCTGGAGATGTTGTTATTGCTGGCATTATGTCTCAAATCTATATAACTTCAAGCATAGCCTTCGATGAACCTCCTACACCTGAACTCTTTGATGATATTCTGTAAGGAAGTGTGTGTGTGTGTGTGTGTGTGTGTGTGTGTGTGTGTGTCTGCTTTAAAACCGTATTGTATACCTGTAATGAATATATTTCTGCATTTGACATATGATGAAGGTGATGCTCATTACACTAGTGGTCAAAATTGTGGAAAACTTTAGGAAAAGCTGTATTTCTAAGGGCTGATGGCTCATAAGAACAGTATACCATTAGAATGAACCTCTGCAGTATATCATTAGAAAGATAATCTAATGCAGAATATAATGCCACAAACTGTGTTGAATAGTCCTGACCTGAATCCAACATAATATCTATGGAGCTGATTAAATAAACTTTTAGTCAGAAGCAACAAAAGAATACAGCACAATTTTTAGAAACAATCTTGGTTTCATGTTAAAGCACCTGGTGAATTAAAATATTTGGTTTACTCCATGGGATGCCACTGTAGAGCTGCAATTGCAGCAAAAAGTTTCTATGCTAACATAAATGGTGAAAAGTTATGAAATACCCTTATCATGGTTTTCTGTGCATAACTTTTTGTTTGGCTATTTGCTTGCTTTGGTGATCACTTGTAGCTGAGTAAAATTTGTCTTCCATGAAGATGGTTTTAACAGTGAGTCCGTATGTGACTGTAGAGACCAATTCTGGATCCACATGTCCTTCCATAGTGAGGACCTAGATTTCCAGGCGGGAGTTGGTCAGGGTGAGGGTTTGCCAAATATGCCTTCCTCTTAGCACGTTTCTCACTTCCATCCTGAGTTCAAGTGCCTTCAATGTCCTTTACACCTTTGGTAAAAGCTGTTCTCCCAGCCAGTATTTCCCAATTGTCTGTGTTTATACTACATTTTTAGATTGGCCTTAAGGGAGTTTTTAAACCTCTTTTGTTGACCACCAGCATGGTGCTTTCCATATTAAAGTTTGGAATAGAGTAGTTGCATTGGAAGACGATAATCAGGCAAAATGACCTGTCCAACAAAGTTGATTTTGAAGATTCATTTCTTCGATACTGGTGATCTTTGCTTTACCCAGTACACTGACATTAGTTTGCCTGTCTTCCCAAGCGATGTGTAGAAAATTTCAGAGACACCGTTGATGGAATCTTTCGAGGAATTGGAGATGGCATTTATAAGTGGTCTCTGTTTCACAAGAATAAAGTGAGGTTGGTAGTACAATTGCTTTGTAAACAAGCATTTTGTTCTCCATGCAAATGTCCCGGTTCTCAAACACCCTGCAGGAGAAAGCGCACTTGCAGACCTCAGACGGTGCAGGATTTTGGCATCAATGTCAGCCCTTGTGGAAAGGTAGGCGAAGTGATCAACACTTTCCAACCTTACACCATTGAGTTGGAGTTGTGACGGTACATAGAGGTTGTTTTGTTCTTGTCGGTGAAGCACTTTGGTTTTTGGGATGTTGTGCGTGTAGGATCAAGGCAATGGAAATAATAAATAGAGTTGGGGCAATAACACAACCCTGTTTAACACCTGATCCCGCTGTGAATGGTTCACTTTGAGAGCCATGGTTATCTGCAATTGTTGCGGTCAAATAATCATGGAGGAGATGAATGATGTTCACAAATTCATCTGGGCAGTCACTTTTCAGAAGGACAGTCCGCAGGGCATTACGATTCACAGTGTCAAAGGCCTTAGTCAGGTCAATAAACGCCATATACAGGGGTTGATTTTGCTCTCTGCATTTTTCTTGTAGCTGTCAAGTGGTGAAAATCATGTCCACTGTCCCCCTAGAAGGTCAAAAACCATTTTGGGATTCAGGAAGGGTAGCCTTGGATATTGTTAGGAGACGGTTTCCTAAGATCCTTACAAGAATTTTGCCGGCTGCAGCTAAAAAAAGAGATGCCTTGATAGCAATTCCGCTTAATAGGATCTTGAAGGGCTTGATTATTATGGTATTAATCTAAATAATACTGATGTTATGAGCCAGAGATACATACATACTTTCCAAAATGTTTTCACAATATTGGCCACAGGTGTATGATGATTCCTACCAACTTTTTCCTTCCACGAAGTTCTGAGAGATTAGGGCAGACCTGAAAACACAAACCCACTTCTGCAGTGTGTGATAACCTTTTTCTTCTTATACGGTAGGCTTATACCAATGTTCAGTTTTTCTATAAAAAGTTTGCAAGGCAGCATAAAAAGTAACATCCCCATTCACTTTGTTAAGGCTTTCTGCTCATTTACCATGGTGAGCTAAGGATTTCTTATTTAATATTTGACTTTAATCCAAGCAACATAGTAATTCATTCAGACTTAGAGGTGATTTTATTATAAGCTTTTGGTAACCAGACTTTCTCCTCCTCCTCCGTAGAACAGAAATAGTAGCAATTAGGGCCAGGCCGCC